CATGTCTTAAAGCTCTTCTGCAGTTAGCCTTGAGAATGTTTGAAAACTAAACAAGTGGATTCAGGAGTAATTGATAGAAGGTTTAAGTGTTTCAAAGAATGGAAAAATCTGATAAATGATAAAACTAACTTTTCAAGCTGTGGAAGAAAGTATTTGCACTCTAGAAAGTACAGCTGTTCATTTGTCTCCATCTTTTCTCCGTGTAACACTGAAGCTGATGGTAACAGGTTTGTTATCAATTTGCTATAAATAGGCAATATGGTTTTTCCTTTTTAGTGAAAATTCTCACTATTGCTAATTTAATGGCCATGCAGACACTCCTGCTAAAATTCCTTCCATGAAAAATCCCACAACAGTTCACTTTTAAAAATATAGCTTTAATTGTTTCTGAATATAATCAAATTCAGGTTCACATGACAAGAAAATCTAATCTAGACTAATTTACTGTTGTCAAATGCATTCCAGACAGTTACAAAGGGCATAAATTAACACTTCCTAAAAAGTCTTCCAGTTCTTCTCCCTCAGATTATCTTTCAGTTCTAAGGTCTCTTAATTTATTTTGCAGGTTTCCTTTTCTGCCAAAGAAATGACATCTAGTGCACAGTAATGAATGAATCCTAACCACCTTATTCAACTCTGAGGAGGTGCACTGTCACTCCTCGCTTTAGGAAAGAATGCATGTGCCAGGTATACCTTCTGATCTTACTTTTCATGAAGTACTTCCCAGATTAACTAAAATATGTTACAAATGGCAACAGAATTTTAGTCTCATTACACCTTGAGGAGAAGGTGCTGATCATTGGTGATTATGACCTAAAATAGTTAAAAGGGCTGTTGAAAACTATCCATTTAGGATGTAATTACCACAATCATTACATGTTGTAATACATTGCATTTGTCAAATCAGAACAGTGTCTCATTTGCAGTTTGTCTCCTAGTTCAAAAGGGGTAATTTACCGAAGAAAACCCTAACACAGATTAGGGCAGCAATTAATAGTACGATGGCTTCTGTATACTTTTCTATTTCAACTAAGAGTTTTGAGCTTTCTGCTATTTCCTAACCACAAGAAAGGAACCACATAAAATTAATTCCCTAAGGAAAGAGTATCAAATACTCTTGAATGTATAATAATTAAGAATAAGAGCCACAATTTCAGTGCCACTATACTGTTTTCTATGATTAACAGGAGCAAAAGTAATCTTGGTAAACAAGCAATAATTACAAGTAGACTCTAGGTTGTCAATCTATAAAACATTACTACTGATGAAGGTGTCACTTCACAATTACTATTTTCATGTAGGAAACCTGTTTTTCTCCAGTTTTCTAGGAATTAACAGTCTTTATTAGATGTTTACTATTAGTAGCTTATTTTTGCAATGTCTGTCAGCCCAGAAGTTGTTTAATTATTCCTTCCATCTTAATGAACACATGCTTATGAAGCTTAATCCCTCTTATCTTAATGTTAATGGCCAAGAAACATGTTGTTAAACTAAGGACTCTCCACTTACATACCTGGCATGACTATTCGGGCTTTTAAACATAACGTAACTAAAGCTTTTACCTTCTGGTTAGAATGACCTTCAGTCTTACTTACTTTCAGTCTCTTAACACCTTAATATTAAGGGATATGAGAAAATTAATGAAGCCTTGGATTTTCAAATATTTCTGTCACTGCAAAAAGTGAAGCGGATTCATAACTTTAGAAATTAGAAATGTTTTTTGACCACAAGAGGGGGCTCATATTGTTCTGTTATGTGCAACAGCAAAATGTACAGGTTTGCAAGATAATTTTGTTGTAAATCTAATGGTTATCAAAAAAGTCATCAAGTATATTATAATATACTACAGGTGCAAGTTTTAATTGAAATCATTCTTCATTTTTTTAACCAAATTAGAATTGTTTCAGCTTTTATTCAATAAAACAAAATGGCACAAAGTACATTCTAACAGCAAATAGATGCAAAAAGATGTAAGATTTGTGCCTGCTACTCTTGCTTCTCTGAGGAACTCAACAGTTTCAGTGGATCCGTTAATGGTATGGCAGATTTCTACCATGATGAATGTCTACAAAATTAATTCCAGCTCTATACAAAATCATAGTGCTTTGAGAACAAACCTCGCATTCCCCATCAAGTTAGAACTTGATATAAACAGTCATTGTTGTAGCAGACAGTTCTTTGAAGGCTTAGAATACTCCCACCATCAAAATGGAATAAATTACCAACAGAATAATGTGAAAGAAAGAATATGGGCTTGGTCTGAAGACAGAAAGCATCACTCCTGTCTGAAGCCGAAGATGACCTTTGCTAGAGAGCAGCCCAAAGAAGAAATAATCTAGTAGACCATGAAACAATGATGTTAGAAAATGAGAATTCAATTACATCACTAAAATGTGTGTTCCTTCACAGATAGACTATTTTCTGAAGGCCATTTTCTAATATTAAGGCAATTTTAAGTGTCTTGAACTACAAGACTTTTATTAGTTCCCATGTTTGCCAAATTCCACAGTTTAAAACACCTGAGTTTTTTTTACAGCACTCAATCTTGTCTTTGGTCTTTCTATTTTCATCTCATTGCTTACAGGCCTATGTACCTTGATAAACAATCCCTTCTTGCTCATCTCTGAAATATTTGTCTTGTTCTTTCATCTACACATATACACAGGGACACAAGGAGCTAAAGGTCTACAGAAGATATAAGCTAGGTATTACAGCTATGAAACGTCAAGAAACTGATCCAAATACAAAGAAAGTTTTTTTTTTTTTCTCTTAATGCAACTAGTTCATAAATGGCTTGAGATGATGGGATCTCAAGCACTGCATAACTAAATTGGTAACAGACAAATGCATCCATTAGATTGGTGTATTTTAGATATTTTAAATATTTCCCTTGAACTTTCTCTTCTTTTCCTGGGCATTTCAATCATTATAAGAATTTTCAATAGGGATTTTTGGAACAAAAAAGAAATTCGAGAGGCATTGTTTCCTATGCAGATCTGTTTCTATGTTATTTAAACATTTAGAATATGGTGAACGCTCTACTGTGAAAATCAGAGAAAAACAAGATTGTGGTCTAGCATGCTGATAGGCTTGGCCACAAATTGTTCTAACATCTTGCTAAAATGTAACAAACTTGTAAGCCCTGAAACATGTATGTAGATCATTAGTGGTTTAAGCTAAGTGCTTTCTATTGATTTTATAACTACTCCTTTTTGTGAGTAGTGCTTACCATGTTCACCCGCAGCCCATTTTATCCCCAATAACTTGCTTGAAGAGAAGTTTCACCACTTCAAGTTCATTCTCTTACTATTACTAAATCAAATTAACTACTAAAGACTTGCAGAAACACGCTCAATGCCAGTTGCATGTAGTTCTACCTAATTTGTGCCGAACATTTTGCTCCCTTACAAATCTCTGCACACTACTTGGTTTAATCATGATATAAATGCCATTAAGCCTCTCAGCATTTCTTGTGGCTGTGTACTAATTTACATTTCAACTGTTATGTATCTTCTCAGTAAGCCACAGGGCATCAGACCTGCCTTTTATTACAATGTAAAATACCATTTGTAATTTAATAAATGATGCATATGTTAGAAAAGAAGAATAAAATCACATAGATGTCTCCACTCTCTCCTCACCCAAAGTAACAGTAGTAGTTGAAAAAGGAAAGAGAAAAATCTTGTTAAGGGTAATGCTATACACATTTACGTAATAAAGCATGGCTGACCTTTTAGCAGTCCCCAAAACTGTCAGCTACTGTAAGGCTTTCCACAAACTGTCTGCCAAATTGACAGAAAAACTGGCCACCTTCCTACAGTTCACATCTGTGTTCAGTTTGCACGCAATAAGAACATAAGCCATCAGGAATATTTGATTTGTGCGAGTCTAGCATTATTTTCACTAAGAAAGCCACTTTATCATGGAAATACGATGAAACAGGTGACTAGCACTCAACTTTTAAGGACAAATTTATTAATACAAGACTACTTGAATACAAACCTTGCTTCTCTGTGTTTAAGTCGATTCTTCTGTTTGACACAAACATCTCCCATACAGCAAGATTTCAGAGAAAGTACCATATCTCTGGTTTTGTACTGTCTGAAAGTCTGAATTCCAGTTCAAATGTGGAAAACATTTTTGGTGTGGTTTCACTATTAACGAGCATTTAATGCCACTAGCAAACCACAGTATGATCTGGCAAAAGAAGCAGTCTTTTCTAAAGAAATTAAACAAAACTACAATAGTCTACTTTGGAACACGAATTTTGTACTTTGCATTATGTGCAAGACCTTCTACACAAAACACACCCTTGCAAAACTGCTGAGTGTTTAATGAGTGCATTTATGTTAGTGCACCATATCTTTTTTATAGCTATGTAGTAGCAAAGAAGCTGTTCAACCCATCCTCTGAGGTTGCCATAATATTGTTTATTTTCTCTGGGACACAGCTACTTAAAATAACAACAACCTCCACCACCACCCTTAATGCCCTGTCAGTGTTCCCAATTCAAATCTAACCACACAGTCTCAGGACTCCCTAATCACCAGCATATTTAGTTTAAATGGGAACTTACCATCCCATGAAAGCAAAAATGCTTGCTGAACTGAGATTAACTGTTGACTCAGGACTACAAAGTCTACCCATAGAAGTTGCAAAGATACAAACTGTCTATAAATAAGCCCAAAACTTTCACATAATCAGAACTACATAAGAAGCATCTTTGAGTATTTTGCCTCAGGAACCATTACTGTAACTATTGTTATAATACTTTCCATATTTAACAGGATACTCAAAGCTCAATTGACAGCAATTGTAAGCTTACAAGCAGTATAGAGCTGGTAAATGGTAAAGCATTGATCCTTTATTGCTTGCACAGGCAAGTGCAACCTGATTTTTACCAGTTCAAAACTTTTAAAATAACTGGCAATTGCATGTAAGATTTAACAATTTGTTGGGTTATTTTTTTTTTTTTTTAAAAAAAAGCATACTGTCCTTACCTTCTCTGCTCTCAAATTACAGCACGTCATGTTTCTAAGTGCAATGTCAGCACTTTAATCCCCAATCTCTTTGATGAAGCTAAGCCAGACAGCCTCTTCTTGCGTCTCCTTTAATGACCTGCAGAGATGGGCAGAAAAAGAAAAGATGTGCTTGTGATTGTGAATATTTCATTTGGGAGATCACCAGCCAAGCTCCTTATTAGGCTTTTTAGGAAATCATCCCTTTCTGAAAAATGAGTTTTTCTTCCACTTCCCAAACTGAACACATCCATAAGCACTAATTCCATTCGGAGGTTCACCACCACCACCACCACCACCACAGCAGTGCTATTATTTAAATGACAGCCCCAAACTTAAAAAGGCTTACTGTAAAGGATTACAGTATTATTTCTAGTAAAGTGGCTTAAATATGAAAAGTGCCAATTAAGGCAATACAGATCTATCTTAGGCCTAGCCTTGATAATTGAAGACTTACAAGATTTGTTTCAATACTACTTTCTACCCATCTTTTCTCTCAAAACTAGATTAGAATAGTCTTTAAATATAATATAGTCTAAAACTAGACTATCATTATCTACCATCAATGTAAAATTCAAACTTTTGATATCTGTGGCTTTTATTATGTTGTTTTATTGTTATTAATATCAAAAATGTTTCTGGTACTAGCACCCATCTTCTATGGATGATAATAAACATTTTCCAACATTTTTTCACTGAAAAATACTCATGTGTCTGTATGTAACAAAGAACTTTTTTTTCTTGATCCTATTTCTATCTGTAGGAGTTAGAGTGTTCATAAATAAACCCTGACAGAGAAAAAGGGAATGTCCACACTTGTCCTTAATTCAAAGGAGAGTCAAATATCCTTGTTCCCACATTTTTAATGTTGTTGTAGGATAGTGGTTAATTTGGAGAGATTCTCTCATACGCGAAGGTAGTGAGGATATTACTAAAAGATATGCAAAAAGTCAGAAAAAACACAGGAATCTTTTCTAGGATTTACAGTCATGCTCAAGATGAATGTTAGGCCACAAGCTCTTTAATAAAAAAATTAAATATCTTCAAATAAAAATAATGTCCATAGCTTGTTTATTTTCCATAACTTGTATTTCTTGTATTCTTATTTAGCACAAAGATGTTTTCCTTTCCCCCACACAGGAAGAAAACAACCATGAAGGTATCTGAAAGAGCGGCAAGAGTATCCCTATGTCTTCCTGAGACTCAGATTTAGGCAAAGGATACTATTGCCAGCAACCTTGAAGCGCATCAACAGGCAGACACGAAATCTGCCATGCATCTACCATAAAGGAACAAAACATCCAGTTATTTTACCAGTTAAGCAAATAGAGATATTTTTCCAACTTACATTTCTCTACCACAGTGTTCCTGTTCCCTCAATATATCTAATTAACTATGAGGGAAATATGAATCAGCTTGCATTGTGCATTCTCCTCAGAGTACAACATCAAACTCTGATATCTTTTCTTCCCCATCAGCATACATCTCCTTGTTCTGTTCCAGTGCGAAACCATGAATAATGTGAAAAAGAACAAAATAAGTTTATCTGTAACCCTAGAGTTTTAGTCTGCACTTGGGTGAAGTCTGAGACTTTTTCTTGTCTGGTTGGTGGAGCTTACGTTCTATAAAGAAAAAGCTGTTGCCAATTAGGCAGGACAAAACTTCACAAAAGCAGAGGGACCAAAGGAAAAATTCCCATTTCATGTCAATTACTCTCATCTCCTCCAGCTAGCCCTAACATACCATGGGACACTTCAAGTTCAAACACTTGGTACTGAAGGAGAAAGGAAGAACTGGACTTGGCACACTGCTGTTTTCCAGACTCACTCCTGTTCTCATTCTTGACTCATTGCTCTCTGCTGAAGTATTTTAACATAGTTTTCATCTAAGTTACTTGCACATAGTTGCTAGGGAGTGAGGAGCTTAAAGTCATAGAAAAAGAGGCAAGAAACAAAATATGTGGTGTTTTGAAAACTATAACTACAATAGGGATAAGAGAGAGGCATATAGACATGTTAGGCTGGAAAGCAAATAAACCACAGGGGAGTGTTTGGCAAATATTAATCTTAAAGAGTTGAACTAATGAAATGCACTTGTTAATATTCTATTTATTGTTTCACTGGAGATTTGCATTTATAATACTGATACTATATTAGGCAAAATTATAACTGATAAAAATTGAAGCAGTTCATGTCATGAAGATAATATACTAAAAGTTAATCAAACTACAATCATTTTTCTCCACTTTTTCCCTACAAATACTCTTTTTTGCATGAAGGGAAAGCCTGCATGTTGTTGGGATACAAATGGACTTCTCCAAAACTACGTTCACTTGACTGCTTGTAGCTCCAAAGCAAACTCTACGAATGTTCCATCTTCCCCTCTCCATTTCTATGGGATATTTATTACAGTATGGAAGCCTGATCTCTAGAGTATATTGACAGAAATCAATAGACCTGCACAAATAGATCAATGTGGTATGTACCACATTTCAAGTACTATTGTTAATAAATCAACCTTCATATTTATATTAAGCAAGAAACATGAAGGAGAGCATATACATATAATTATGTATTTGAAGTTTCATGACAGGTGTCACATTTTTAAGAAACTTTTAAACACCTTAGTGTCAGATGCTGCATGAAGGTTACGAAATTTGATGTTCCCATAGTCTTTGCCACATTGAATCTCCATTAAATTAGCTCACAGAGCTCTTAGAAAGCTCTGTGATATTCTCAACGGCAAGAAAAGAGGAATTCATAATCAGTAAAAAACCTCTCACCCACACTATCACAAGAGTCTCTGGAGCAAGGCCCAGGAAAACTTTCAAATGCAAATGTTCTCCAATGGGAAGTCCAAGAGATACAAATGAAGCTAGCCAGTGGCACTATAAAACTGATTTTTAAGTGAGTAAAATAAGTAAAAAGGAATAATTAAACAAATTATACATGAAGCCCTATAACATTAATTTAAAACCTTCTAACATTAAAATCTGATGTCTAAATCACCCATCTGAATACAAAGGAAAAAGGCCTAAGGCATTTGATTTCCAAGTAACAGGGCTTAAACGAGACTATTATTTTCTAGTTATATTATTCTCTAGTTAGAAGAGAAATTATAGCTCAACCACATATACTTGGAGAGCAACTAAACTTTCTGGGCAAAAATTAAGGATAGCTACTTCCTTTGTCAAGTGGGAAATAACCGTCAGGCAGGTCCCTGATCACACAGGCTCACATTGTAAAAACAGGTTCAGTTGGCACTGAAAGGGAGGCAGTCGTCGCTGCTCACACGCATACTTTTTTAGAAGATAACGTCCCTGAAGTCCACGCTCCAACTCAAAAGAATTCGTCATCATCTTCCACAAGGTTTGGGCTAGTTTTTTGATTTGTAAAGAAACCATTATATTTTATCTGTGCCTAAAGGTATTTTGGAAAAACAAACAAATAATTTTTAGGAACACTTAAATCTACTTTCATACTGAAAATATCTCTATTATAGGATAAGTTATCTAAAGTGCTGTGCTAAAGTGCAGAAGAATATTTAATAAAAGGGATTAGAAAGCTCATAGCAAAGTATATAATACAATGAATACTTAAAAATACTATAAAACTGACTTACTATGAAGTACCAAAAAGGAAATACACAAATGTAATCAGATGGATGATATTTGCAGTGCCAAACAAAAAGGATAAATAAACGATTAGGTAAATGACACTCTTGCACAAAGATCTATAAGAACAAAAATTGCAAAATTCAATTTTACTCTATTACAACTTGGTATAATATCTACTTAAAGAATATAAAAAAGGTGGCATAGTTAAGCGGTATTGGAATGGACTGCATTTAGTCAAATATCTCTGACTCTAGTAGAAGTTTAGTAGATAAAGTATCTTCTTTAAGCTGATTAATGCAGACTCTAAAACCCAGAAATGACTAAATAGCACCTAAGCAGCTTTATTTGTTTGTACAAACACGAGGGTGTAACCTTGCTAGTCTTCAAACATAACCCTTCCTGAATAACCTCAACTCAAACCTCACGTTCACTGAAATAAGGACTAAGTCTGGGACAAAAACCTTAGCAAAATTCTTTCTCCTCTCTGACCCTGAAGCACTGCTGGTTTTCTGGATAGGTTCAAACTCTCTCATCTTCTGGGAATTTCAAGAAATTTTAAGCCACTAAGAATGAGATAGTGTTCATCACGCTTGGACTGCAACTTCCTGCAATTTCCTGAGTTTTGAAAATACTTTCCATGTGAATACTAATGAGAGATATCCTTTTTTATAACATATCTACACTTAGACACCTTTGCAACATGCTTAAGTAGAACATACAGTCACAAATAGTCTAGCACCCTCATAATTTTAAAATTAAGATACTTCTCTGCAGTTGTTTTTGGACAGTAAAGTACACCTGTTCTGAAAACTATTAGATTTATTGACCACTGAGATGTCCTGTCCTAGTCTTTGCTAAGTCTCATTTCTTGTTTCTTCTCTTAATTTAATTAGGTCTCATCACTAGGTACACAAAATGTGCTCAAATGAGAACAAAAAGCAGAAATCAGATATAGATTACTTGCTTGATAAGCCATTGAACATATAAGTCCCCCATTCTAGTTTTAGCCTCTTGTGTAACCCTAGAGGCATCAGGAGGCTTGAATAACCCACAGACAAAACAGAACAATATGCCCCTTTCTCAGCAGGTAGTATACGCACATATACTTCAAAGGAGGAAGTGTCTTCTCTTCAAAGCCTTATTCTCCCTGTTATTATAAGGCACCAAACTGAGGTCCCAACTTCAACTGCTAATACAAATACATTCTTACAGAGCTTCCCCCCCCCCCCCCCCCCCGTTAAATAGGTCAGTATTATCTCTATTTCACAGGTAAGAAACCAACATGTAGAAACAATGTCACTTCATTAATGTGGCAGTGGCAAATATAACCCAAAGAAGTTTTGGGTGGCACTTACTACTCTATTAAGCACTTACTTTCATCATGTCAGGTAGCTGACCAAAACTCTCAAAAAAGAAGAGTCTGGGTCAGTGTTTCCCTAACTGAGATTTGTACCAGCCAGCAGTTATGTCACTGGATAAGAAACCCCTGTAAAGAAATTTAATCTATAATTTTTAAAAGTCTGCACTGCATTTGAGACACTTCTAAAAATAACCTGCTTCCTTCTGCTGTCATTGCTTTTCGTGACTCATATGATGTCACGATGGAAAAAAAGATGTTTTTCATTGAAGAGTGCAACTCAAAAGACTTAAAGATTTCACAGCCACAATATTTGTTTGTTTCCTGTTCTTTTTTGTTTGTGGCTTGTTTGGTTGTTTTGGTTGTTTCCTACAAGGACTGCAGTCTTTACATCATCTGAAGAACCCAATTAAGTTGGGATACAAATGGTACTGACATGTCGCTCTTCTTCAAAGCCAAATTAACCGCTTTCTTATTGGCTGCGAGTTTTCATGCCGGAGTTTGGTCACATAAATGTTCAGCACACATTAAGTGTGTGTTTCTGATAAAAACAGATCTGTGTTTATGAAGGGCACAAATGGGGACAAAGAGCTCTGAATCCTTAAATGTATTCAGCTGAATTAGTCATATTTGAGAGAAAAAATAGATAAATGAAAGTGTTCCCAGAGCCTCTGGGGAGCAACATATGTTTACTAAACAACACATTTGATGTCAATTAGGATGTGATGTAATTATGTAATGATATTGAATAGTATGAAGCAAATTACTTTTTCTCAGGTCTCTACAAATTTGGTATATAATGCAATCTTTTCACCTTTCTTTTGAGGAAATAGCGGAAAATATTAGCGCTAATTATTAGGAAGCGCTATTAGGAAAATAATTAGTAGCGCTATTAGGAAAATAATAGTGCTACTCATTCAAAATTGTGGCATATTCTTTACATTCATATATCTGTACACTGACATATTATTCTACTGTGTAACTATATCCTTACCTAGTATTGATGTGCCTAGTTTTATCAAAAAGGCATAAAAATGCCAACAAGAAATTCACACCAAAATCAGTGAAAGACAGTTGAAAGAAGGAGAGGGGAAAAAAAGCCAAAATATTTATACAAAATACAACTAAATACAGCTACAAAGGGGGACTAAAAATCAGGCTTCATTTGTTGAGAAAGTTCTACTTTCGCTGTATTTTTACAAAATTAGTAAGTTTCGGATGTACACAACATATGACATTATTACAAGAAAATAATCCTATGAAATACACATGCAACGTTGCATTGTTCACTTCCCTTGCTGCATATGTATTTACCATGTCATTGGAATAGAATCAGAATTGTGCATAAAATGTATGCATTTACAGTATCACAATTCTTTCCATGGCAACAAATCTTTATGCTACAGATACAAGACACATGAGCTTAATGGCAGGTGAATAGGCGCAGAAAATATTAGTGGTGTTGAGGAGGAGAGGAAGGCATAGATCTACCTAGTCATCTAATTTTAAATTACTATAAATCAGCAGTTTTGGTAAAACAGACTTAATATACCTACCTTATTTTCATTATCCACATTATGCTAAGTCAGAGCATGATACATGAAAACAAAAATTACTGATAAGTTTCCAGAATAAAGGGAAACACAAGATCTTATCTATTTTTGTGATAGTTTCACTTATCAAAAATTATACCATAAGTAAAACTATTTTACTCACCTTGAAGTTACCTATGCACGTCACATTCTGGCACTTTTTAAGGAGGGCGGCAATCTCATAGCACAAAGTGGATGAAAAGCCTAACCATATTTAATGGACTACACCAAAATCAGGAAAATATGGCACACACTTACCTACTTCCAAAATTCAAGACTCTTGGTTAAGTAAATTTTTATTTATCTGGAACTGTTTAAGTGTAAAAGCTAGAAACCAAGGCTGGAGGCGAGGGTAGAGTGGATGATGTCTTGAACATAACAGAGTTCCCCTGGAAACTAGCAATGTTTCAAACTGGAAAAAAAAAAAAAAAAACAAAGAGTTAAAATAAACATGGAAGACCAGTATCATTGATAAGAAAAATATGCAAGCTACTGAAGCTAAACATTGATGAAGAAAAATTGCACGTTGAATTACTAGGTATGTAAGGAAATCCACTCTCTCCAAACTGCTCTGCTCGGGCACAGGGATCCACGTCTCCTCCTTGTCCACATCGTGCTAGACGTGGGAAAAAAAAAGAAAAAAGTGATGACGAATATACCTCGCAGGCCGCCAACAGCTCCTCGGGCAAAGCTCCGGCTCCCCCGACCTGCCCGAGCACACACAGGATGAAGATGGATACTCAGGAGCATCGTGGCAGAGGAGAAATTTGGAAAAACCGCCCCGCTGCGGCGGGGCTGCTGCCCGTTACCTGAGCCAGGGGGCGCTGCGCTGCCACGCCCCGCGCGGCGACCGTTATTTAACGGCCGCGTGGTGTTGCGCAATCCCAACCGCCGCCTGCCCAGAAACCGCCCGCTCCTTAGCGTCGCCTGCAAGCGCTGCCGGGGGGAGGGGCACCCCTTGCAATTAGCACCTGAAGCCCTTAACTCATCAGGAGCTCGGGCTCCATGAGAGCCCAAGTCCAAGCCCCGAGAGCAACGTGCAATCTGCAAGGAGCAGGTGCAACGCCCACGCAACCGGCACTTTGCGAGGTGCACCTGAAATGTTTGCTCCCAGGTCATTGTATTTTTGGGTAGAATCTCGGGCATAAGTTAAAAATAAGTCATTTAGGTTGTTTAAAAAAATACAATTTTACCATTTCCTTGCTTTTTAGTTGTAGCACAAGAGCAAATGGAGTCATAGTTTGATTTAAACTTATTAAAGCCTGCAGTGGGCAAGTAGCATGGATGCAAGAAGAGGGGAGACACAAAGAGAATAAATGAGCCCAGAAATGAACGTGTGTCACTATCAAAAGTTGGCAACTGATCCTTGCAGCATTTGCTCTACGTGAAAACATAGACAACAAAAACTTCAGATCAGCAGAAGCCAAGAGGAAAAAAAAAGTTAATACTTACGTTAATACATTTAGCTAAAGTTAATACTTTTAATAATTAAAACCATAGCCATTAGTGTGATAATGCCAACATCAGGCACTGAAGAACGGTTTCTTGAAACAGGGGGAGAAGGCATAAGGTGCTATTTAAAACCAATGAAGGCCTTAAAAAATAAGCCAAAGGGGTTACTTTTTTGAGTAGCATAAGCTGTTAGGAGTGCGAAAGGTGCATCACGCGTTCACCAAGCCTTGCCAAATATACACGCACAGTTCCCATCCCAGGGCACAGACTAGAAGATGAAAAGCACTACACTTTGCTGCTCTTTCTCACAAAGCTGGTGTCATAGATAGAGGACACATTTATCTCCACCAAATGTTGACATATCCATTTTCACAAATAAACAAAAGGGGAAAAAAGTGTGCATGAAACAGTGTGTTTAATAAGCCAGAGGTAAACTCTAAACACAAATTGCTGTTTTCTTCCAGCATTTTCCTACCAGATCTATCGCAGCTATCAATAGATTTCATTAAGCAAACAGGGGTAAAGAAAGGGTAAACGCACAGATATAGCAAAATGAATGGTTTCCAAAAATTTTTTTTTTTTTAAGTTTGCTACTTGATTCATGCCTGCAGAAGAGGAAAATATAAGAGGTATAAAAAAGAACAAAGCTGTTCAGAGTGTGCCCCGCCAATATAGAGAAATTACATGTTTCTCTTAGAAGAGGTATTTTAACACAGTAGGATGTTCTTATGTTGTGACAAGATAATGTGTGTGTAAAGCACTCCTATAATTTATCTGTCACACAGATGTGCCTACTCAAGTGCATGTATGTCAGCAGAGAATTAGCTTTTCTGTATGAGAATACACCAGATGATTTCCACTTCTTACTCTCAATCAACTCAATTTGATAAGAAATTAATCTACCCATTTTTCCTACAGGTATTGTCAGAGTGTTTAAGCTCTGGAACTAATGCTGTGACTGTGTGTAGCTCTCCATAGACCTAAAGAAAGTAATGGAAATTAAACTTTTTTTTTTTTCTCTCTTAGCATTGCCCCTTTAGAGTATGTATTTAAGGGCCACTGGGGTAACAAACTACATTATATTCTTTTCTGAGGAAAAAACTAAACTGTGAAATCGGGAAATATATTTTCAATTGCAATTTCAACCTTAAGGATGCACATGAGCAGATATAACTTTTTTTTTTTTTATGGCTATGCCTGCCAATAGTATAAAAATTGACTTAAATTTCCCATCTCCTCTCTCATCCAAACATCTGCAAATTCTAAGGGACAGCCATCTGGGAACTGTCTCCTACTTTCCTCTTTACCTCCTGTACATATGGACACTCCTTGGACACTCAAAATTAATCATAAGAAATTGAACATAAGAATATTACATGTTTGGCTCTTCCTGCCTCTAGCCATTGTACTCTTTCTGAAAATCTGTCTTTCTATAATAAAACTATTCATTTCCAGGACTTCAGAAGTCTTTAGTGTCAGTACCTCCACTTCCATAAAGAAGCCTATGTGCTAACACAATAGATATTTCTAACACTAGTGAAAGAAAAGAGAGAAAGAAAATACCTACACACAGATGAGCTATTTCAGCATTCAGGGAATCTCTAGTGACAGGTAGAGAAAAATAAAGTGATGATAAAGAACGTCTAAGCCTCTCAACTGATGAAGTAGAAGTGTAGAACAGAATGAGAACTTGATAACTGTGGTAGACCATCAGAAATCAGTTGGATAGGAGGCAGGGAAGGAAACATCCAATTCTATTCCAAGTCTGCCCATGGCCTTGCATGTGTGCACAGCTCCTAGCTGTAGGGCTAAACAGCTGCTACATCTCGGAACATCAGAGGAAATTTAATTCCTGAACTTGCACCATCTTCCAAAAATGGCTCTTAGATGTTAAGAGGATACAAGTAGTTATGCTTTTAGTTTCAGCCAGATCAGGAAAGGCAGAACAGATACAACATGACCTGTAAGACTTATTGAAAAAATAATGTGAATCAACAGGTTTGTCATGATCCAGTCACTGAGAGCATTATCCATTCACTGGTGCTCGCATGGGAGCTCACCTCTATTTACCCAGTGATACCAGCTTCTGGTAAAGGCATTTCTGCTTTCTTGCAAGTATTTGTGTACATTTTTTTCCCCTCACTTTACACTAACAGCATCCTCCTCCCTGCAGGAAACAAACTGAGGCTTCATAAGCTCCTTCAAGTCCCTCTTCACCACTAGCTCCTACTCTGAGGCCAGTATTGTACTAATGAACAGGCAGGAGATAAACTGCAGAGACAGCTGTTGATTTGTTGACCACAGAACAAAACCTACCTATTTAATTTTTCCTCACTTCTCTTTCTCTAGGAGTCCCATTCTCTTTGTCATGAAAGGATGGAGGAGATGGCAGCAGATGTAACCAGAACAGAAATCCTGAACTACTTATTCTTCCTCATGGGAATGCTTTTCTCCCCCCTCAAACCTTTTTTTCAGGGATTTTCTAGGATTTCAGCTTGGTCTGCATTCCTGGCTGTGATTAATTTGAAGTAGTAGTAGTAACAGGTGTACACAGAAGTAAACTCGAGCAGAATAAGATTTGTTGTGTGAAAGAAAGTACCAGAGAGGAATGCAAACCTGCTAAAGATGGCATTTTGGGCCAAAAAAAAACAAAAAACAAAAAACAAACAAAAACAAAAAACCACAAAAAAAAAGAGAGAGAGAGACAGAGAGAAGGCAAAGTAAGAATTTATGGAATTTGGGCCCCTTGGAAATGCAGCATTTTTATGTGCAAGAGTTTATTATATACAATCTGTAGGGTTTTTTTTTCTGGCTTGAAAAACAGAAATTTGCAAAGCCAGAATGTGAGTAGGCAGAAAAACTTAATAGATTTGTCCTCAGAATACATGCGGAAAGAAACTTGTATATCTCATCACAAAGAATTTAATGGCTTTCAAATATAGCCATTATTCAAAAAGAATCAAAAACAAAGATATACTGCAATTAATTACACAGGTTTAAATTAATATATTTGTTACTTGATGGCAAAATTTCTATTGCTGATAGATCTTGGCCTTTATACCCAAACTGAAGCTCAGAACTATTATGCAGCACAACGTGCAGTAAATACAGATCACATGCAGGGGCTATTAAATCTTTAGTAGTTTGCGTCCCAGCAATTCACTGAATAAAGAACTACAAGATATACCTGAAACATACACAAAGGTGGAAATAGGCATTCTTTACTGCAAAATGGAAAGGTAAGTGCAGTATTTAGAGAATTAACTGCTGCTAGGACAAGGAAAGCTGAACTAACTACTGAAAGACTAAAAAGCATCCAAATAACTAGTGCTCACTTGTCAAAGATTGGATGTCACTAGTTGCAAAAGGAACTAAGCACTTATCTATATTTTGTCCCAGAAAGCAGAGTTTGCTCATTCATTTTTGTTGCTCTAAGCAAAATTTTTAAAAAAAGCATGATATTTTAGGCTTAATTGTGAGCAAAGAATGGCGCTGGAACTTTCACATGTTAAACATCACACGAAGTGCAGAGAAGTTATATGCTATCTGCCCCCAGCTTCCTTTTAGTAACACAGCCACACAAACAGGGTACATGGAAAAGCTTTGCTAGATGGGAGAAAGGAATGAACTTCTTTTGGAAGCCATAGATTAGACTGCCACTTGTTCAACAATAAACATTTTTACTCATTATACTGTTTATTCGCTACTGTCGTCAAATAGGACCCAGAGGGTTTTGAATTTGATGGAGATACATACTGCAAATCTTTTCTAAGTAGAAAGCAGTCTATAAATTTGCTTGACTCTTAGAGCTTTTCTAGAAGTTACACATAGGAAGTACCATTGCAATATACATTTCTAAGCTCTGGATTCTCTGTGCCTTGAAATCACAAGATTTGCAGACAAACAGTGCATTAGAAATACTAATTCACTGTTTTAGAAAAAAGTAGAATTGTATGAAATAAGGGAAGTTATCAACTATGGCAAAAGATATTTCAGTCACTAAAATTTTCATAGACAATAGTAATAGAGAAAACTTGTAATACTGTCTTAGCGTATTTGAAAGAACATTACATATTAGCAGGAAAGCACTCATTTTTTCCCTGTAAATGAATTACAATGCAACCCTCTACTTCTACAAGGTGATATCGAGAAATGCAAAAAAAATCTTCAGTAATTTTGTATGTAAAATGTCGAGGGATTAATTAGCTAGCCTGAAGTCATTCTCCACTAAGTGAAATTAATTGCATAATTCCACGATACCAATAAGCAAGA